CCCCTGTATGCCCAGTGATGCCACCTGGAACCATCAAGCCAGAAACTGTACTCTTTGCAACATTTTCATATCTCTCATCTTCATCACTTTGAACCATGTTAGGTCCTTACTGTCTCTTGTTGGAGCCCCACAGGGGTCTCCTAACCAGTGCTCCCACCTTTAGTCTTGCTGACCTGTTGTTGTCACCAGAGTCATCTTTCCAAAAAACAAAACTTTATGCCATGCCCCAGCCCAAATCCTTTAAAGGATCCCTGTTGCCTACAAGACAAAGTTCAAGCTCCACTGCACCGTTTAAGGCACCTTCCATGGTGCCTTCCAGGCACCTGCCCTGTCCCCTTCTCTTTTCCTAAACTCCTGCCCCACTCAACACCTTGCTGTTCTCCAAAGTCATTGTATCTTTGCCCCCTGTTCAGAATATCCTCCTCTCCCCTGCCTGCCTGGTGGANGCACCTGCCCTGTCCCCTTCTCTTTTCCTAAACTCCTGCCCCACTCAACACCTTGCTGTTCTCCAAAGTCATTGTATCTTTGCCCCCTGTTCAGAATATCCTCCTCTCCCCTGCCTGCCTGGTGGACACCACTTAACTTTTGAGACCCAGTTCAAGCACCGCTTCCTCTAGAAAGCCTCTGATTGCTTTCCTAGAGTAAAACTGACCCCTCCTCCCTTTGTGTCATAACCAGGGCCTCGGTGAGGTGGGAGGATCTGATGGGGTGCTGTGCTCCCCGCCCAGCGCCGTGCATGCTGAGACCAAGGGCCTTGTCTTTCATCACCGTGTGCCTGGCGCCTCACGCAGCACCTGGCAGGCCTCAGTACACAGCTCCTCTTGGTGCTGAATGGGAAAGTGAGCATGTGGGAGGCCCTGGGAGAATTTTGAGTTTCAACTATAGGAGCGTCTTGGACTGAGAACAGGCCTGTGAGACTTTATTTATGCAAGGGAAGCACCCCCTCCCTCACGTCACCGTTTACTTCTTGGGCACCCCCCCTGCTCTGCAGGGGGTCCCCGGTAGGGAAGGTGGTCATTGGTAGGCTCTCCTGAAGGCACTGTGTCTAGTGTTGAGATGAATCCTCTTCCAGCTGCATCTGGAGGAAAGTGCCTGCAAGAGAAGGGTGAGCCAAGTGGCAGGGGCAAGAGCATGGATGGCAGGAGCTGATGGGGTGCTCAGAGCTTTGGTACCCAGTTACTCAGTGCCTGGGTCCTGGCTTTGTGAGACATGCTGGGCTACGCATATACAGAAAAAAAAAAAAGTCCTAATTTGGTTTTTCCTCACTTTGTGTGTACAGCAGGTCCCAATCCCACTCTAAAAAGCTGGAGCCCACCTTGGGATTGGATCCTTAGCATTTCCCCTTCTGTTTGTCCCAGGCATGGCATCAGCAGGACAGGGCCAGGGGCTGGGGCTCAGGTCCTCTTTACCTGAGGCTTTAGCGTAAACTGTCTGCTGGTCTCTGCTCTGGGTGACACAGGA